CTTCTCGTGGATCTTGTTTTAAGGATATTTATATATTTAGATGGGGGGAAAGGATAAAAATACTGAATATTAATTAACAATGATAAAAAAAACTTTTTACAGTCAGATTGTTTTGTTATGGCAGATATGTCAAAGCAAGACATTTTCATCAAATCCCATTTTTTAAAAGTCTGTTTTATTATTAGTGTTTTGGCTTCGGCTATAAATAACTTGTCATCCAAAATATCTGAACCAGTTTGAGATCTACCAGTGTTCAACGTGCTAATTGTTTATATCCTCTCTTTCTTCACCAGCCACCAACAGATCAGCTGCAAAAAAGCACTACAAAAGACTGCATTTATTACACACACACGTTACACTGCCTGTCCATCTCAAGCTCACCCCCCTCCCCTCTTCCTATCTGCCTGTGCAGAGCATCTGCCGCCCAGAGAAGAGAGGGAACATGGGAGCACATTAGTCACCAGATGTCACCTTTTGCTGCCAGCCCTATCGAACAGGCAAGCAGACAATGCAGCATGCATAGTGAACATCTGACTGGGGCCCACTTCAGCAAGACAGAGCTCACTGACTCGGAATGACAGCTCCTACTGAACGGCCTCAGCCCCCACTCCATGTCAGGAGTGACACCTACAGTTCTCTCTGGCGACTGTCACACCGCTGGCATGATAATACCCAAATACCACTAATTGTTGAACACTGGTTTTGGTTGATCTGATTTCTGCAAAGGCTCAAGATTTTTCTTTTTCTTTTTTCTGAAGAATCTCATGCAGGATGAACAGGCTGTCCACAGGGAGTCTATAAGCGTCAGTTGTTGTGCCTGAAATAGTAATGCCTGCAGGCACTAAATCATGCATACATTTCAGATCCATTAAGAATGTAAGGTGCACTTTTGTCACAATTCAGTTCCGTTGGACTTCTTTCGAAACTCAAGTTGAAGTTTTCTCTTAGATGTTTTTTGTAATTAGCCACCTTACAGTGGCCAATTAAAGGGACAGTTCACTCAAAATGTTTTATTCTTTTATCATTTACTAATTCTTATTTTGTTTAAAACTGTATTACTTTTTTTGTTCTGTGGATATTTTGAGAAAGGGAAGAATATCCTGGTTTCATCCTTTTTTGGTGAAAGTGAATGAGGAACGGGGGTGTAAAGCTCCAAAATAAAGCCCAATAAAAGTGGTCCAGAAGATTTGTGTGATACACATTACCTTTTAAAAATTTGGGGTCAGTACATTTTTATTTATTTTAGTTTCTGTTTATTGAAAGAAATTAATAATTGTATTAAACAAGGATGGAATAAATTGATCAAAAGTGACATTTAGGATATTTATAATGTTACTAAATATTTCTATTTAAAATTTATGCTGTTTCTTTGAACTTTCTATCAAAGTACCCTGAAAAAACATATCACGGTTTCAAAAAAAATATTAAGCAGCACAACAGTTTCCAATATTGATAATAATAAGAAATGTTTCTTGAGCATCACATCAGCATATTATTGCATTATGTTCTCTGTGTTTGTCCCTGGACTTTTATTATTATTCCAGTTTCCTGTTCTGTCTGCCATCTTTGTAGTCCTTTTGTAGTTTTTCATGTTGATCAGTTCCCTGATTGTTCCCAGGTGTGTCTTGTTACCTTTGTTACTTAGCACTTGTCTTGTGTATATAGCCCTTGTGTTTCCTTTGTTCTGTGTCAGGTGTTGTTTGGTGTTTCATGTGGATTTCTGTGTTCCCCGTGTTCCTGGTTGTTGTTTAGTTTCTAATAAACACATGCAGTTAGATCTGTTTTTTCGCATGCATTCCTTGCTCCTCGTGTTACAATTATAATGATTTCTGAAGGATAATGTGACACTGAAGACTGGAGAGATGACTGCTGAAAATTCAGGTTTCTTATAAATCACATTTTAAAATATAAAATGGAAAACAGTTATTTCAAATCCCCAAATCAGTTTGAATTTAAACTGGATCATTCTGATTTGTAAACTACTGTAATCATTCAAAAAAGATGCAGTCACAAATCAGACATCATCGCAACTGTTGATGAACGGAGAGATAATATTGATGTCAAGATTTTCAGTATGACCTCTTTTTCCTCACACAAAGCTATTTAAAAAGGTGGTAGTTCAGAACACTTGGAAAAACACTTTTACTTCCATTTATCTTTCTTTCTTTTTTTGTTATTTTGGAGGTTGACAGCTATTTTCATGTTCTTTCATTAGATAAGAATGGCCAGGATATTCTTCAAAAATTCACCTAACATTCCATAGAAAACAAAGTCATATGTAAATGGACTGCATTTATATAGCGCTTTCACAGATCCAATGGCCACCAAAGTACTTTAAATATTGCCTCACATTCACCCATTCATACACTGACGGCGGTGTCAGCCATACAAGGCGCCATCCAGCTCGTCGGGAGCAGCTGGGGTTAGGTGTCTTGCTCATGGACACCTCGACACTTGGTCAGGTGGAACCGGGGATTGAACCACCAACCTTCCGGTTTGTAGACAACCTACATGAACCACTGTGCCACTGCTGCCCATATGTGTTTAGAACGTCATGTTTCATTTTTGGGTGAACCATCTATAAATATCAACGTGGGTTCAAAATGAAGCAGATAATGTGAGGCCTCTAGACTCACAACGTGAAGACGTCACGCTCCTCTGATGCTTTTCAAGAAACAAGAGTGACCTATGTGGTTGCCAGCTCATAAATCAGAACCTCATAAATGTTGAATATTGCAATGCTTATGGCAGAGAGTTATGAGACCAGGGTCTCTAGTTCAAATCCCTAAAGCGTTTCATCCAAAGCTCTGTCCACAGCTGATGCTCTCGTCCCAGAATTGTGCAGGTAAACATGGGCGGCGATGTATTTTAACATTTTGTCATTAATAATTGAATGGTAAGTAGTTAAGAGTTTGACCCACCATCGATCTATCTCCACATCACATGCATATTTAAACATGCTTTTCACCATTTAACTCATAACTATGTGAACCTCACTGTGGCACAATGCACATCACTGACCTCCACTTGTTAAGGATTAATCATATTACAAAGATGTTTCATGAGTGTACATTTGAGTGCACATTATTTGGTTAAAATAAACCCTTTTAATTCCCTATTTTGATTCATAAATGGTGATTCCCTGTTGTGAGTTTTTTTTTTTTACGAATGAAGCGAAGCTGTATTAAACACAAGGGCAGTGCAGAACAGCTTATGTTGTTCTGTGGTCAGTCACTTCAGCAGAAAGGGAACCGTTAGGTCAATGGACATTGATTTGCTTCCCCCACCCAGCTTGTAAGCTGCAGCTGTGTCTGTTACTAAGCATCACTGGCCTCTCACTGAACCAGTAGCATCACTCTGTTGTGATGACAATCACCAAACACATGGGGAAGACCAGGGCTAGTTGTCACATGGGGAGGTTATTAATTCAATTGCACAAATGTGTAACAAAAACATGGGTGTTTTTCATAAAGGTCCAGTTATCATGTTTAAATTGTTATAAATTATAGGAATTTGTAAAATACACGACTATTCAAAAGTTTAGGGTTGGTAAGATTTAATATGTTCTCTTATGCTCTCCAAGGCTGCATTTATTTGATAAAAAAAACATTAAAAAAGTGTGTAAAAACAATATTGTGAGACATAACCATTTTAAATAACTTTAAAATTTTATGTAGTTTGTAATTTAGTCATTCAGCAGCAATTCTTCAATGTCAAATGATCCTTCAGAAATCATTATATGCTGATTTACTGCTCAAGAAACTTTATCAATGTTTAAAGTTTTTCAAACATTTTTTCAGGATTCTTTGATGAACAGAAAGTTCAATTAAATGTATAATGTAACATTATGTCTTTACTGTCACTTTTCAACTTAATGGATCCTTGCTGAATAAAATATTTTTTAAAATACTGACGAACCATTTAATTAAAGGTTAAATTGTGACAACTTACTCCATAAACTGTAATTGAATTGCACATTTTCCCTGGACAACAACCGTGGTGTTCAACAGTTTTTTTGTTGTTGTTTTTTGTTGTTGTCTTAGAGTATGTCCCAAATTAACTTTTAACTTAATTTAAAAAATAAACCTACCCTAAGAAAGGTGTGACAACTAGCCCCGGCCAATCCTATAATATGAGACAATGGAATCACTGATGATGTGTATTGTAAGATTCCTTCACATTTGATTCCACATTTAAGTGATGGTACCATAGATTTCATATAATAAAGGCTAGATGTCGCGTCCGCGCTGCTGGCCAATGGAGGTCGACATCCGCACGTGGCGGCCATCTTGTCACAGGCAGCTCGCTCACTCGTAACATTGTGTTTTAATGGTGCATGTACTTTTAAATAACCAATGCTCAATTTTCTACCGATTTTCAAACGGTTTGGTTTGTTATAAACGTCAGAGATGTAGTTATGACACTGCATACATATGAATAATTATAACATATATGTTCAAGCATTCAGAATTATAGCAATGTTAATAAACGTTTGTAAGAAACCAAACCGTTTATAAATCCGTCAAGATTTCAGCGAGATAAGAGGATTTGTGTTCATGCTGATCACTCACCTTACATCAGAGCCTGCCTGTGACAAGATGGCCGAACAGTGATGCAGGAAGTGACTCCGCCATCTGAAATCTATGGATGTTACCACATCTCTGCATTAAGTCTCCCTTGTTCCTAATAACTAAAAGAAAAAAAATTGCAATAAAAAAGAGAGATATTATTTTTCTATTATCTAATCCAGTGGATGTGAGGTTTTCCAGCACTAAAATCAACACGTTAGTGCAAGAATCTGCCACTGCTCTCGGCAATCGATAGTAAAATTCCTCATTCTGTGCTCGGGTAAGTAAATGGAATTGAAAGTGGGGCAGAGGGTATTAATGCAGATGGTGGAATATCCATTTTATCACGTCCTCCCAGCAGGCCCTGTTGATAAAAATGACAGCGGGAGCGCATTACTAATTCCACCACTGTCATGGCCCATAGTCACTTACCTTGCAAATGAAGTGCGGTAATAACACCTGCCGGTCAGAACAGCTACTCTCCGTAATACAGCCATGTTAAAATGGATCCAGGAACGCACGGACCTAGACCTGCAAAGTCTTTTTTGTACATTCATAATATAGACAGAGAAAACTACAAATGTAAATGCATAGCCTACTCACTCACAACAAATATGAAAACAGTTGTTGCTTGTGCCTATTATCTTAAATCGGTTGAAATTATAGGCCTTTTAATGAGAGTCATATATTACTGAATCGTAGATATGATTCAAGCTTATTCAGTTACTCTAAACAAATGACAATAGTGTTTTTTGATGTTCAAATGAAAAGTAGCTACCCATTTTTTTTACTGGCGCCCCCTCTTGTTAGTTTCCTGTAAGTTGTTGGTAAGAGCAGAAATGCATCACTTGACAAATAAATCATTTATGAGCCAGTGATTTATTGCCCAGCAAAAATAATGGCATCCATTACTGATAGATAATATTTGCTAACACATATTAATGTACTAAAATTACTAAATGAAAGGTCCATTACTGAATTTGCATGAACATGCACCTTATATCATGCATGCGAAATTTATGACCAAAAGGGCTATTGACATATGACTTGAATTTAGCAAATTATAGTTTACCATGCAACAAAGAAGCAACCCCCACACCTATGAATTAAACATGGCACGAAAAGCGAAACATTTAATTGGATCTGAAAGCCAATTCTGAAGCCCTTTTATCTCCAAATTTAATTAATTCGATTTTGTTCACACATTAATGGAATTATTTCATCTATATTTGATTAAAAATCAGTTGCCATACAAATACAGAAACTCTTCAAAAAATAAAACACTTGTTTTTTGTTTGAGGTGAGGCACTTTCACATTCTGAGTTCACTAAAATGCATTTAAGAAAGCTTCAAGGAAAACTTAAAAGGAACAATACTCTCTCAAATATGGAAATTTAGTCATTATTTGAATCCGAATCATTTGAATTGAACAATAACAGATTGAACAATGACAGAATTTATATTGTTCAAACCATATATTATGTGATTTTTTGTATGTGAAATTCCATGCAGACTCCTCCATAAAAGCCATTATTAACAGATTATTGCATCTTCCTGAGCTGCTAAGCAGACTCCGCAGACCGAGAGACCCAGCCATTACCCACCATAGACATAGAGCCTGAGCCAAAGCCCTCAACGGAGCCAGAGCCAGTTGCCAAGTCCGTTCCAAAAGCAAAGCCTCAGGTCCCGGCTGACCAGGTGTGTGAGCTGGCCATAACATCCGTGACAGTAGGGGTTTTTATGGACCTGGACTCTAAAAAATGGCTGATAGACTGGGAGAAGGAGGTAGTGCTTCCCACCCTTCCCACCCACGAACCTTCTCTGTCACTGGTCCCCACCTGCACTAATGAATGTTCATCACTTCTTTCGTCATCATTGCCGCTGCTCCTATCCAGCCCTGTCCTTCACATAGTGTTCTCCATCGCCACCAGCCCAGTCCATCACCAACCCTGCTTCATCACAGTCTATCACAGTCTACCTCTCCTACATACTCAACTGAAGCCAGCCATTCCCTCGTCTCCAACTCCTCAGATCCACCATCAGCCCTGCATGTCATGCAGCCCTGATCCACCTTCGGGCTTCCGGTCCCCAACGCTGCCCTGGCATGAGGAGTCCCGAGCTCCGCCTTGTCCCTCTGAGCCCTCAGTTCCACCTCGCCCCATCAGCTACACCCGGGATTGCCGTCCCTCCAGCTCCGCCTGGCTCCCACGTCCCACCGTCTCCATCTTGGTCAGTTATCGCTGCACCCTCACCACAGACTTCTGAGCTGTCTGCTGTGCTCCATCCCTCCACCTCTAGTTCATCCCTCAGGCTCCACCGGGGTCCTCACTCACACCGTCGTCGCCTTAGTCCTTTACCCCCTTGACTCCACCTCGGCCACTCGTCGCCGGGACTCCACCCTGGTCTCCTAGTCTGTCGATGTCACAGAGTCTCTCTGTCCATCGGATGTCACCTGGGCTTCAATATCTCCCTGCGTTACCTCAGTCGGTCGGGCTCAAAGGACCACCCTGGCTCCTCCCTCCATCACTACCGCCATTGGTCGCCTCTATCATGGTGTCTCCTGGGTTGCTCTGGGATCTCGTCGGCCATCCACTCCTCCATGGGCCCTTCCACCATCATGTTCTCCATGGCTCCTCCCACTGTCACCAACTCCATAGTTCCTCCCATCAGCTCCTCCATGGCTTCTTCTGCCGTCTTCTCCGCCTTGGTTCCTCCCATCAACCACCCTATGGGTTTTTAGCGCTTCACCAGTCACTCGTCCACCTCCTGAACATCCACCCTTCTTCCATTTGAGCCATCCATCACGGCGTTAGGCCGCGCCTTCCAGAAAGGGGGCGTTCTGTCACAATCTGTATATTTAGTTTCTCTCTTATGGGCTTTTAGTTTGGTATGAACTTTTAGTTTGGTTATTGTCAATTTCCTGTTTCCTGTTTCCTTTGTTCCTAGTTTCCTCCCAGTCATCAGTTTACATGGACACACATTAAGCATCCCAGATGTTTGTTATCTTCTCATTATCACTGTATTTAAGTTCCTCTGTGTGCTCACTTGGTATTGTAGTGTCTTACATGCTGTCACGTTAACTATTCTCCATCTGTGGACTATTTGAGTTTGTTTTATAATAAATACCTTTGTTTTGTAACCTTTTGAATCCTCATCTTTATCATCTGCACCTTAACGTTACACATGTTGAGCAATTGATGCCAGATTTTTTTTTTTTTTGTGAACTGAGGAATAAGTGGGGACTGGACGCATTAATAAAGGGCTGCTTTTTACAAAATCATTCATGAGCCGAAGTTTTCACAATGACAATGACTGTGATCTTGTTGAATAAAAACTGTTATGATGGAGTATTTGTAAACAAAACAGAGCTTGACACAGTCCTGACCTGCTGGAATGAAGATGGCTTAATTCCTGACAGCTGATTGAATCATTTTCGGTCAATCCTCGACCTCTGATTAGCCTGAAGATAATCGGACACAGGTAAATGACAGACGACCGGAGGTGGCAGCCTGTGTGATAACAACAGCCTCAGATCAGATAAGAAAACAGACTGATGCAATTGAGCTAAAGCTCTGGTTTGAGTTTGTCCTCCTGTAAGCCAATCAGCAGGCTTTCCGTTCATGACGGAGAACACAAAACTTGCTCTTAGATCAGTCCATTACAAAATCAGTCCGCACAGCGTCCAATCACGCCACCGCTCGGCAATCTGTTCAACAAACTGTGGGCCCTCATCCAGGGAATCAAATTTGTCATTCTGGTTGGACCACCAGAGCCTGTTTCTCAGTCCATCCCTGCCTCCTTTAGTGAACTGAACATCTGCTGGCCTGCTGAAGCCACGGCTCCTCAGTCACTCCCTCTCTCCGCATGAAAACAACAGAGGGACGTGTGAGCGGAGGGGGCCAGGAGAGTCCTTTACAGTGCAGATGCTGCCGGTCCGCTGCATGCTGCGTTCTCATTCACACTGTTTTCCTGCACAATCAAGTGGGTGAGATGCACACACAAACACACATCTCTTTTCAACACTGCACCAGGAGAGGCTTGGATTGGGGAAATGTCTGTGTCCACTCAAACATTAATTTCAAAACAGAGAGAGAGAGAGAGAGAGATGGACAGTGAAATGATCTGTTGACCAGAAGCATTGGAGCTCATATGTAGCAATAATAGCATATGTATCTACTTGGAATGAGAGACGTGACAGGGTCTTTGGAGGATATTCGGGTTGTTTTCTTCATGCCTCGTGCTTTTTTTCCTTTGTGATTGGGAAGAATCGCAGCCTGAGCCGAGCTTGGGATTCAGCACACATGATTAGAATTCTACCAACCCTGCTTGGCCTCTGAAGCAAATCATTTGCCAGGTCCTGAGGGGGTTAAAGGCAACACATTTTACATATTAGTATCTATCAGCTGACACAATGCAAGGGTAGTGATGCCGATACAACAGACTGCTGCTTGAAACAGCAGCAGCACATATAAAACACAAGTCGCTAAATGTTGTACACATGAAATGACACATCATTAGCCCTTTAAAGGCACAGTTCACACAAAAATGAAAATTCACATCCTTTCACAAAAATGAAATCCATTCACAAATACAAAAATTCTGTTGTACATACCCTCATGTTGTTCCAAACCTTTTTCACAGTTTTTTTTTTAAACATAAATTGCACATTTTTGAAGAATCATTGGCTCTAACTATAGAACAGTTCATAGTGCAAATTACAAAAAAGCTTTGTGTGATGGACAGGCTGACATTTAGGTGATTATTTACAGGTAATCTTGCCTTCCCATAGAACTGTTCATGTTCATGTCCAGAATTTAAAAATGACATGTCCAACATGCTCTCACTCTCAAATTGTATATTGTAGGGATTCAATGGGGCTATAGGTGTACCGGGGTAAAAGGTGCATTTGACTTTATTCTCTTTTAAACCACTAGATAGCACAAAAATTCAGCTCAGCGCTTTTTATTATGCACGTGGAAATTTGCCTGATCCTTGATGTGATCATGGACAGAAAAGATTTAATATTTCATGTTTTTTAAAATGTTGTAGATTTATGTAGCAAATGAGAATTGATACATTTCTAAATTTTGAGACAAAGGTCTTGTTAATGATTTTCATTTTTGTTCAAGGTAATTAAAGCAACAGTTTTTCAATAACAGAAGAGTATGCAAAAGTATAGTATTTGGGGTAAAACCAGGTAAACTGTATAGTTAGAGCCAATGATTCTTCAAAAATTTGCGATTTATGTTTTTTTTTTTTTTAACTGTGGGACATAAGTTACATGAGTTACATAAGTACAACTGAATTTTTGTTTTTGTGAATGGATTTCATTTTTGTGAAAGGATGTGAATTTTAATTTTTGTGTGGTATTTGCTATTTGGGCTAAAGGCACAATAATTAACATAATAATAAACAGCCGGCTGACTTTTCCATTTGTTGACATGACATGGTTAGATTCAGATGGTAAATATCATATATTAAGTTGGGTGTCCACTTCAGAGATAATCACCATATCTATAATGAAACCATCATATTTAAAAAAATATCAGATTAATCATAAAATATAATAAAATTCTACTGTAAAGCTATATTAAATTATTATGGGATCTCATTCAATGCTTTCAGAATCTTTACTTTTTAAAATAATTTTGTTTCTGTATTTTTAAAATGAACATATTTTATGAAAATTAAATATTTTATTTATCAAATTAAACCGAAAATAGTACACATTTAGCTAAAGTGATTATTTTGAACAAATATTAACTTAGACATTATGCAAAACATATTATTTTAGCTAAAGTATGTGTATAAATAATGTGTGCCTTTTGCCTCATAGTGAGCCTGTGTGGGGTATAGGCCCACCTTTTCACCTCATACATTTATAAGATTTTTAAACAAACAAACCACTTTTATGATTCATTTTCACAAAAAAAATATGTTGCTCCATGAATGTTCAATAAAAACATATATATTTTTTCTGCAATCATACACTATGGGAGTAGTGAAAATCACATTGTTCTTAGGGTGTACCTTTAGCCCCGTTGTACATATCAGTTTGTAGAAAAAACGTTTAGACTTTTATGGGTTTTTTTTTTACTATTACAATCATGGTTAGGTTAGCGGTTGGATTTTATAGTTAGGTTTAATTTTGGTGGTGTGTTTTTATTTGACCCAATCCATCATTTCTTCCAACTTCTCATGAGACCAGGTTAGATGTCATGTTTGGTTAAAACAAATGTGAAAACCAATTGCATATTGGCGTTAACATCAGCACACAGATTTTGAAATCGAAACTCATCTGTGAAAATTTGTGGATCATGACTAACCGTATATGCCCACTTCTCTTGAAAAACAGTGAAAAACAGTATGTGAAAAGTCGTTATATGAATGCAAAGCATTTATAAAAGAGTAGGCAAAAAGTACTTGGATGACCTACTACTACCGCCAAGATTCGCCAAGACACTTTACTACCCCATTAGGCCACGGGAGAGGAGTTGTGAATGGCAGTAAAATAAGACAACTGACACTGACAGTCACATGACAATGACACTAGTGGATGTATATCCGGATTTCACTGATATACATACTATTTAGAGCATAGTTTTTTTTAATAGTCACAATATCTTTATTCAAATGTGGAACCTACTTAGTATGTAAATTCAGATGCATGGTTGGAATATGGTGCACGTGTTTTTTAGAGCTTATGTTTAATGATTGTTCAAAAATGTCCACTCTTGTGTTTAACAAAAACAATTAGTATGGATTTGGGATGACATGAGAACGAGAAAATAATGACAAAATATTAATATTTTGGCAAATTATTCCTTTAACAAATTGACTAAGGATAGATTAATTCTGAGGGGGAAAAAACAATAAAGAACATTTTAAAAAGATGTTCACAGAAAACCATGCATTATGAAAGAGAGATGTCTGGCTCACAGCAATAGTTTCTGATAAATGTAAATCATTCATTGAATTCAACAGGTCATCAATTGAATGGCTTTACAAAACAGATCAGAGGATACATGAATTAATTTAGTGCTGATATATCAAATCCACTTAATCTCATTTTAGGTGCTGCACATGTGAAAATAAATCTCTTTTCTCGCTTCAATTTCATAAACCTCAAGTTGTATCAGGAAGATCTTTGTCAAGGCATTGTTTGACATGTGGCATCACGGTAATCACCACTGCCAATCCTCAACAGTGAGCGACCATTACAAGCTAAGCCATGTGCTGAAGCATCAAAACCTGGAACTGACTTTGTGTCCTGCTTGAAGAGGTGGTGCTGAATTAAGGATGACATCTCATTGGAATTTCTGGACAAATACCAACACACAGTTTGACGCACTTCAACAAATATGGACACATTGACATTGACACACTCTTTGGCTAGGGGATGTCCCTGGTCTGTAACAAAGGTACAGCGGCAAAACATTAGTCTCAGTTTCTCTTTCTATCCACAGAAGCCCCTGGAGAAGGGCAGGCACTGCCCCACCATCTGCTAACTGCGTCTGGAAGAGCCAGAATGGCTGCCAGGACCCAGATGACAGAACTGGCCAGCACAAAATCCATGCATGATAAACCTGCAACTGTACCTATTACCTCTTCCACACTATTCAATTTGTGATGCTTGGAGCAAGGAGAATAGTGTCAGAAGACCATGAGGCTCTAATTGGTACGTACATCAATAGGATGCAAGATATTGTTAAGTACCACAATATCATGAAGCAATGCAAATGGCAAATTAAAAATGATGGAGAAATTTAAAACTACTCATTTAATGCTAATTATGTATATAAAAAACAATACTTTTTTACATTTATTGCAAATTATGCATAGCCTGTATTTAAGTCGTTGGACATTTTCAGTGTTTGAGAAGAGAGGGCTGGGGCTAAAGAGTTCTTGTTGGGCTGATGTGGCATGACATGGCAACAAATCAAAAGAGAGCCTTTTTTAAGAAAGCAGACAGCAGATCTTTGCAGACGTTCTAACCAGTTATGAGCATCTCTTCTCTTGCTGCACTTCCCCTTTATCCTCTTTCTTTTCTTTCTGTCTTCTCTTCATTCTCTGTGCACCTCTTTTCACCTCTATTGGCATGGATAAGGCAATCTAATGTAGGACTACTCCTATGAGTTCTCTTTATTATGCACCTTTGCAAAATCATAGGGGAGGAAAGGGGAAAGAATGAGAGATCGCAAAGAGAAAAATGAAGGAGAAACAGTAAAGAGAGAATGAGAGGAAAAGAGAGAATTGGGGGGTGGTGGGGGCCTGGGAGTGCACGTCAGCGCTGCTGAGAAGAACCTCATTTTCCAAGACCATCTGTTACCAGTCCCTGAGCTGAAAGCTCCATTTATGTCATTCTTACCACTGCCACACAAGCAAAGTGTCCTCTCTACTGCTGCATGTACCACAACTCTGACTCTTTCATCAGCAACTCACTGTCATTCTAACAATCATATGGCAGATTTATAGCCTAAACATAATACAATATTTAAGCAATATCACACTAGAGTACTGTTGTTCTGAATACTGCTGTAATTTGGCTGCAGGTATTCACAGCCATGCTGATACTTAGACCAAACTGTTAGATTGTCATGGATGATGTGGCTTTTATACAACTCTTCAATAAGCTGGAAGTAGCTAATTATGGAGTAACTTACATTTTACACACAATTGCCAACAGTTGCCTACTTCTGCTTCACCAAGGAAAATTATAAACTAATAAATTCAAAACAAAACCAGCACAAAATTGAGCAGTGCGTCTGTAAGCAACAGTTTTTTTTATTCAATGAATCAGTTGAGTGAATGATTCAATGACTCGCTCATACGTTTTTTTTTTTGTTTTTTTTTAGAATTTGTTTCTGAATTAATCAGCAGTGTGAAAGACTTGGGCTGCGTTCAAAATCGCATACTCTCTTGAGTAGGCACTTATTTAAGTAAGTAACGACTTAAATATAGAAAAATATGTTCTATATAGTATGAGTGTGTGTAGTATGAATGTAATCCGGACGTACTACATTCGCCATGTTGTCATTACCACGTGACCTACCAGCGTCAGTTGCGTCGCTTCACTGTCATTCAGAAAACTTCTCCCGTGGCCTCATGGGATTGTAAAGTGTCCATCATATGCACACTCCAGAATCTTTTTTTCGCCTACGATATATAGTAGGGAAGTATGCGATTTCGGGTGCAGCCTCGGTTTATTAATGAATCAGTGTTGTTTTAACAAATCGGATGAATGAATGATTCACTGTCTTACTCAAGAGGATGGGACGAACTGTCAAAGGCTTTTGTCTGCAATCTCCATTTACTGTTGGCAAGCAAAAAAATTGGCTAAAATCATTTAGTGTGTGGGGGAAATAAGGGCTTACAATGCTTTTGGGAAACGCAAAACTTTTGAAAGTTCTTCTGAAACTCACAAACACAAAAGTGGAGTGATACAAACGGTGAAAAGTTCCAGCGCTGTTGGATTGAAGCTAATAAAAATAAATAAATAAAATCTGTAAAAAGTTGACATTTTCCAAAAATACTACAGCATGATTAATAATGTCAGAATGTACATGCATCTTGATGCAGATCTAAAACTGTTTTATTCCTCTGCTCTGTTATCTCTGATATAAAGCATAAAATATTCAAAGCAACAGCTGCCAGAACAGTACGTTTTTACATAATTGCCTGGTTTCACAGACAGGGCTTAGATTAAACAAGGATTAGGCTTTAGTTCAATTTGGACATTTAAGTAGCTTTTATAAGCACGCCTTAGAAAAAAAATAAAAACATTACTGGTGTGCATCTTGAGACAAAACAAAGTTTCTTTCAGTCAAAATATCTTAAACATGCATTTTAGTCTAGGACTAGGCTTAAGCCTTGTCTGTGAAACTGGGCGTTTAAGTCTGAAGTGTAGCGAAGGAAACATAAGAAGAGGATTGACAGTGAATAGCTGAGAAACAGAGACGAAACGCTGCAGGGGGTTAAGAAATAGGCATGGAAAATGGAAAAGGCCATGCGTGCTGTGTTCAAAGCACTGCCTGAACACTGTAGTTTACCTGACTGGCTCTTTCCTATTGAAGGGTGCTGGATTGTTTGCACTATACTGTGACTGAGTGAGACACTCCTTTAATCAATTTGTGGGGAGATCACGCTGTAACCTTTGCAGCGAGATGCAGGGGTGGTCAGGAGATATCGAACGTAAGGGCGCCCACACACTGTACCTGTATTGAAAAGATGTCTGGTTAGCCTAACCTGGTAACCTAACAACATAGAAAAACTCTGTGTCTCCGTGCATAATAGTTACGTAAATACAATATGATTGTACATAAAAAAAAAAAAATTAAGTAGGCCTATATGTTTGTTTAGTTATATGCAATCAGATCATCATGTTGTCACTTGCATTTGTACATTCTGTGTCAAAAATATGTTGACTAAACACAAATATCTGTCATATAATAGTATATGTCATCAATTAAAGGGATACTCCACTTTTTTTGAAAATAGGCTCATTTTACAACTCCCCCAGAGTTAAACTGTTGAGTTTTACCGTTTTTGAATCCATTCAGCCGATCTCCGGTTCTGGCGGTACCACTTTTAGCATAGCTTAGCATACATCATTGAAGTGGACAAGACCATTAGCATTTCTAAAAAAAAAAATGACCAAAGAGTTTCGATATTTTTCCTATTTAAAACTTGACTCTTCTTTAGTTACATCGTGCACTAAGACCGACGGAAAATGTAAAGTTGCGATTTTCTAGGCTGATATGGCTAGGAACTATACTCTCATTCCTGCGTAATAATCAAGAAACTTCACTGCCGTACCATGAGTGCAGCAGGCGTAATGATATGACGCAGCGCCTGAAAATAGTTCCGTTGTGTTGACGGAAGGTAGCCTATTTTCAGGCGCTGCGTCATATCATTACGCCTGCTGCTCTCATGGTACGGCAGTAAAGTTTCTTGATTATTACGCAGGAATGAGAGTATAGTTCCTAGCCATATCAGCCTAGAAAATCGCAACTTTACATTTTCCGTCGGTCCTAGTGCACGATGTAACTACAGAAGAGTCAAGTTTTAAATAAGAAAAATATCGAAACTCTTTGGTCATTTTTTTTTTTAGAAATGCTAATGGTCTTGTCCACTTCAATGATGTATGCTAAGCTATGCTAAAAGTGTACCGCCAGAACCAGAGATCGGCTGAATGAATTCAAAAACGGTAAAACTCAACAGTTTAACTCTGGGGGAGTTGTAAAATGAGCCTATTTCCAAAAAAAAGTGGAGTATCCCTTTAAGGATTCCCTTCCAGACATTTTGAAAGATATTAATACTTCAATTTATCGCATTCAATTTATTAAAAGTGACAGTAAATATTTTCACATTGTTACAAAACCAGTCGTTCTCATGCACCGGTAGAAGTCTGATTTCTTCGGGCTGGTGTTTAACTTGCTTAACCGGTCAAAGCTAATTGTCAGCAAAAAGTAGAATTTTAGCAATGTCATCACATTGACTATGACCTTTTAAAGAAGAAATTTGCATAGAAACAGAGGTCCTTGATGACAAAAGATGCATGCAGATGACTGTCTTTGAGGTTACAAATTTAAAGAGGTTTGGCGATGGCTCACAACCAGAGGAAAACTTAACTTTATGTAGTGATGTGACCATTGCAATTTGACTTGACAGCAGATCTCTCTCTCGATCTCTCTCTCTCTCTCTCTCTCTCTCTCTCTCTCTCTCTCTCTCTCTCTCTCTCTCTCTCTCTCTCTCTCTCTCTCTCTCTCTCTCTCTCTCTCTCTCTCTCTCTCTCTCTCTCAGAGAAACTGAGCTTGTGACACACTTTACTTTGACCAACTCTTAAGTAGGTCGAACGAGTTGAGACGTCCTTGGTGTCTGTCTCAGTGCGCTATGAAGAACAAAACACGAGGTCTCCTTGACTTTCCTATACTGTATTTTCAGTCAGAAATAATTTCTATTCACCACCCTCTCTGCATCTGTGAAAAGTATCTGTAAGTGTTCAGTCAGGTAGGCCTACATATCAACCGGTATCAGGACACTGGTTATTTTCTTAATATTTCAACAGTCATTATCAGAGGTGGGTAGTAACGAAGTACATTTACTTCGTTACATTTACTTGAGTATTTTTTGGGAAAATTTTTACTTTTAAGAGTAGATTTAATTGTGGGTACTTTTACTTTAACTCGAGTACATTTCTAATGAAAAAACGGTACTTTTACTTCGTTACGTTGGGCGACGTTCCTCTCGTTACTTTATTTTAATGCAATATGTTGTTAAAAGCGTAGTTTATTCCAAGCGCGCGCTCTCTCTTTTTTTCTGGGCATGAGCGATGCTCAATTCACAAATGAATCACTCTTTTGAGTCGATTCTGTTCAAAGACTTCATCAAACAAGTTGGGCAGATCTGTCTAAATCGGTTCGCGAATCAGTTTGAATGATCTGTTCAGTTTCCTGCACGCACTGAATCGTCTCGGAGTCGTAACAGGAAGATTACATCAACATCAAGATTACATCAAGAGCGTTGTATGAAGTGGCGGTCCACAGTCTACAGTACAGTCTAGAAAGTAAATCTGCAAATGCATCATATTTTTTGCCAGCGATGAAGATCTTTATTAGTTGAACATCTTCGTATGTTACTTCGTAAGCTGTCTGTGAATGAATTATTCCACACGACGATACATTCGATTTCATTTCATTCAGGTAATACATTTTACAACCAAACAGATTATTACGCCATATAGCACTACTACAAAGTATGACATTACCCTTTTTTGGACATATACATTAATTTATACATAAAATAAGCTATCATCCAGTTTATGAATGTGTGTACACACACAATGTGTGTATTGCGCAGTGGCGTGCGAACTCGACTTGAAAACGAATGCCTTTGCCTGCCTTATTAGACACAGTTAACCAGTTTAAAGATGCTTTCACAAATATAGCCTACATTTAAATACATTTTGGAGAACAGACAGAAGAAGATCCGTGCATTTGATCGTTGGTTGTGTTTGGCATGACATGACTGCGGGCACATGTGCAGAGTTTTAACACTTTCTAATCTGTGTCAATGGTTCCCACCCCTTTACATGAATGCAAAACTCCATAGAGTCACTTTATTCCGACATTGTCTAATAATCCAAATGTAGTTGTATAAGTTATTATACTATTATACAAACCAAAGGACAGGCAATGGTTTTCGGGCTATAGATATAATATACAGATATACAGAAATAATGTTTGTCTCTTCTTGTTTTTGTTGCAAAGATAGCTTATCTAATTATGATAATTTTAGTCATTAAAATAAAAAAATATCTAAATAATGTCATGTTATATATATATATATATATATATATATATATATATATATAGGCCTATGTGATCCAAAGTAACTACCCAGCAAACACGTAACGTTTTTACAACGTTTCACAACGTTGTTTTTTGGTTGCTATTAGGTAATGTTGCAGTGCAACGTTTTAAAAACGTTTAATAAACCACACCTAAATATAAAAAAATAATGTAACCAAAATAAAACGTTTTAGAAACGTTGTGAAAATACCCAGCAAACACGTAACGTTTTTACAACATTTCACAACGTTGTTTTTTGGTTGCAATTAGGTAATGTTGCAGTGCAACGTTTTAAAAACGTTTAAGAAACCACACCTAAAAAATATTATAATAATGTACCAAAATAAAACGTTTTAGAAACGTTGTGAAAATACCAACCAGGTATGTTTTCTTTGGGTAGTCAAAAAACGTAAATATCACGTCTGTCTACTACGAAAACAAAACCCGACCAAAATGCAACTTTGGCGAGACGTTTTATTTAGGTGTTAAAATAACGTAGTCTGCACGTTGAAATAGGTTTTAAAAGAAACGTCACGTCAGTAGGCCAACCATGCCAAATCTCCAATGGTACGTTCTGTTTGTGTATAAAATATAATAACATTTTAAAATCAAAGCGATTCTTCATTGACCGAGTAGACGAGACCGCTGTAGGCATGGATGATTATCAAGTATCAAAAGGACTTAGAGGTGATACTCTCCCAGCAAACATTTGGAGGTTTAATGACCGTTGAAAAGATGTCCGATCTGACCGTGAACTCCACGTTTCTTCTGCGCGTCCCTGCGTCGTCATTCGTGTGGGGTTCTTCGTTTTCCAGTCACACTCAGGACCTTCGCGGTCAAAAGTGACCGGACCCCTGAAATCAATGTTTATTTTTTTTCAGTAAAATCAATTAAATTCATTTTTGTTCAAAATATTTTTTCTCTCTTTTTTTTGGTGTTTTGAGAGAATTTTATGAAAATAATTAATATTTAGGCAATAATTATGATCAATTTTTTCCCATTGAATATAATAGAAATTATATATATATATATTATTTTTATTATTTTTTAATTAATGCTGTATTTCAGGTTAAAGTGGATCCTTGGCCTATAGAAAACATTCTTTTAAATCACATTGGAGCCATCTGGTGGATGTAGTGAGCATAATTATCATGCAATATCATATTTTAACCACTAGATGGATTTACAGCCTCTGTAGAAAGGCTTGTGAATTCTAGTTGTTTTTGCACATATTTGCCTATTTTTTTCAGGTTGTGGATTTTAATTTATAATAAGTGATTCTCAAAAGACTATTTTTGTCAAGTTTTTTGTTTGTTTGGTTGTTTTATTTTATTTTATTTTAAATAAAATAAAAATTCTATTATTTTCGCATAGACATGAAAATCACTATCCAAACTTAAATGGTTGTAAGTCAAGAATGCTTTGGAATATAGACCTATGGTTGGTCTTGTTTTAAAGAAGACATTTGCCAGATTATTGTAGAAGTGAAATAAATTATGAAAGTGAAACAGAAAAAAGTTATGTAAGTTTGAGGTAATGAAAATGAACAATGTAAAAATGTTATTATTTATATTTTATCTATTAATAGAAAAAATCTATTGCATTGCATTGGATTGTGTCTACAAGACAACACATGATCCCTTAAAAACTCTCTTTGGATAATAGTGCTATTTTTCATGTAATTTATAGGCTCTTTATTAACTTATAAAAATTAATATAACCATTTTGATAAAGGATGTGATAAAAATATGAGAAATGGGCACAAATGGCTGGTCTTTTTGGGCATAGGGCTAGTAGAGCTGTAGCCTGTAGGCTGCACAATTTAAAATTCTCCATCTCATACATGATCGATCAGCACTATTTATCGTTCGTTTTAAAGGGATGAATGGCTGCACGCGATGAATTAAAGTGACAGCG